AAAGAACTAGAAGACATGCCCAACCCTCGTAACTTAGATAGTGTTGAAAAGTGTGATTCATTGATCGTCCCATTCAAAGAATTGGAAGAAATATAAATCTCCACAAGGTTTGACAGTAGTCTAATACTTTTGGGTATAGCACCGCTTAGTTGAGTGTTGAAAAGTTCCAGCACTCGCAATGAGTGGAAGTTTTTTATCATATCAGGCAAGGGTCCCCTAATTTTATTTTCACCCAAAGACAATTCTTCCAAGGAGAGTTGTAGACATCCAGATAAGTTACCAATGAGTTCAAGAAGCATTCCATCAAGATAGTTACCATCTAGGTATAGGTACCTTAATTTGCACAAGTTCCCAAAGGATTTTGGAATCCCCCCTTCCAATTGATTATTCGAGAAAAATAGCTCTTCTAGGAGAGTCATACGACTAAAAGTTTCTGGAATTGGACCTCGAAATTGATTAGAACTCAAGTCGAGACTAACAAGGCTGTTGCTAAAGTTGAACAACCATTGGAATGTAGAAGCAGTCAAATTGTTGCCCATTAGACCAAGGTGAACAAGAGAAGTACTAGAAGAATTAATTATGGGAAAATACTGGGGAATGACATCTTGAAGATTACATCTATATAGATACAGGTTAGTTAGATGAGGGAGCTTATTAATTACTCGCAGCCAGACGTTGTTGACCTTACTAAGGTCGATATCATTCAGATAAAGGTATTGCAAGTAAGAAAGACGAGAGAGCCGCTCAAGATTTTTGACACTGTTGAAGTTGTTATAGCCAAGATTAAGATATTGCAGACTTGTGAGGTTTGCAAGCTGAGTAGGAAGAGATCCACTTAGATTACAATAATAGAGATCAAGATGTTGTATTTTGTTGAGTGAACCAATAGACTCTGGAATGTGGCTTAACTTGAAATTATTCTCACTGAGGTCTAAATAAATTAAATACTGCAACTCAAATAGAGAAGGACTAAGGTTACCTCTTAAGATAAAATGACGGTCATATGAATTTGTGGCTAAATCAAGCATAGTGATGTGCCCAGTTGTGTTGCCACATTGAACTCCTTCCCATTCACAGCAATTCTTTTTCTCTTCTTCACTGCCCCATGAGGAAAGCCTCCCATGTTCATCAACCAGACCTTGCTTAAATGCGAGGAGAGCTTGTCTTTCGCTCTTTATGCACTTAACTCCATCATCAGTTGTTGTTGAATTGGATCCAATTGAAGTTTGCATATGTAGTAAAACCAGGAGTGCATAGATAAGATGAAGGGACCCTGCACCCAGAATCTTCATTTTGAAAGTGATGAAAAATAAAATCAAAGATGAAGGTGAACCAAAATGAAAGAGTG